TGGATTCAAAATACACACCTTGAGATTGGCAGCTCAACTCTACCACTAAGCCACCGGAGCTCCTCCCTACAACATATGTATATAAAAATATAATATGGAAGCTATGTAATGATCTCCCATGATGCTGATAAACCAAATAGTTGTAGGATTAAGGGAGGAATGCAACCATACCCCATCACAACCATACCCCAAAATAAAGAGAATTTCCCTAGTGTGTAACCAATAATACCTCTTATCTCTCTCAACTGTCTCATTGCCATAGACTCAGAACTGACTCAAAACTGACCATCCATTTGGTTTCCCAAGGTGATAAATAACACAGGAGGAGACTGCCCATTTTCTCTTAAGGAGAAACTCATAGAAATTGAACCATCAGAGACAAGCTAGGCCTTTGGATTAGCCAGGTGACTCTCTATGGTTTATGCCACAAAGTAGAGATAAACAGGGAGGAAAGGGAACGAAGAAGGAGACCCTTAAAATTACCAAGAAATAATCAGCATAAATGGAATGCATCTTTCTGGACATGGGCCCCTGCCTGGTGAGATTCCTTCACACCAGGAAGGGCGATGCATGGGAGGAGATTGTCCATTGTTCTCATGCAGGGTAGCTGGTAGGTTTGAATCTCCTGCCTTGTGTTGCCAGAGCAACTCCTTTACCCAGTAGGCCACCAGTGTGCCCTGAATCAAATGTCCTTGTAAGATCAAAGCAGAAGGTTTTTTGGCAGAGAAACAATGAAGGCAGAGACTGGAGTGAAACAGCTATAAACCACCAAAAAAAAATGTCACCAGAAGCTGGACTAACTAAGGAAGGATTCTTCCACAGAGCTCTAATACCACCTTGATTTTTCACTCTGGCTTCCAGAACTGTTATTCTAAACCACCAACTCTGTGATAGTTTATTACGGTAGCTTCGGAAAACTAACACGGTACTCAAAAGAAACAAAGCCTGGAAGACTTTGGTGATGTTTTGATTCTAGTCTTCTAACAGCGTGATTTCCCTCAGTACAGCTAAAAGTTCTCCATCTCCATGCATGGTATGAATGTGTGTGATTCAGTGTGATCAATAAGCGATATTCACTAGGTGTTGTTCAGGTTTAGTAATTACTTAGTATAGGGTTATTATGAGTCCCCATCAGCTCAACAGCACTAGTTGTAAGGAGGCCTGGTGACATAATGTATTATGAGTTGGAGTCCAGGTTCAACTCCACTCACTAGCTGCTCTGAGGGAGAAAGAGTAAGCATTTCTTGTAAAGGTTTACAGCCTTAGAAACCCAATAGAGGGTCACCAGGAGTTGGAATAAACTCATTGACGATGAGATAGGGGGTGTCGCAGTGGGTTAAGAAGTGGCTTGCTAGCCTGAAGACAGGTGGTTTGAACACACCAGCTATTCTGTAGGATAGGGATGAGGCAATCTGTTCCCACAATGGTTTACAGACTTGGAGACTCTATGGGGCCGTTCTGTGCTGTCCTCTAGGTTTGCTACAAGTTGGTATCAATTCAATACCAGCAGGGGCAGTGATTATGATTTTTTAAAGAGTTTTAATAACAAAATCTCTACAATTCTGTGAGCCAGGTCTTTATTATCATCCCCCTTTTGCAAATGAGGCACCTAAGGTACAAAGAGGTTAAATAACTTGTCTAGGTCGACATTGTCAGAAAATTTTAACTCAGTTTGAATTCGGGCAATCTGGCTGAACAATATCTTTTGTGTTGATGGAAGTGATCATTGTACTATTCAATATGCTATAATCTCTAGTTTTACATGGCTACCGGAACACTTGAAATGTGTGTAGAATGCCCAAGGAACATATTTTTAACTTATTTAATTAAAATTAGCTACACAAGGCTTGTGGCAATCAGAAAACACAGCTTATACTATCTCTAACTCTATCACTTAAGGCCTTTGCGGAATCTTCAACTAACCTTCCAAGAATCACACCTTTGTTCTGAATCCATCTTGTATTGTTTTCCCCAGAATAATTTTTGAAAGATAAACAATGAATAAGGCTAACAGAAGAAAAGCACTAGAGAAGAGTACTGACTATGCCATGGACTAGTAAAAGAACAAAGAAGTGTGTCTTGGAGAAAGTGCAACCAGGGTACATGTTAGAGGAAAGGATGGTAAAATCTCATCTCACATATTTTGACCATGTCATCAGGAGGATCTGGCCCTTGGAAAAAGGCATCATGCTGAGAAAGATGGAGGGCTAGAGAAAGAAGATCCTCAATAATACGGATTGCCACAATAGAGCAGGAACTGACCCACACCTGACCCTCCAGTGGGTTGTCAGAGGCAGTAAAGCACACAGGAGGAGATTGCCCATCCTTTTCCTGAAGAGGATCTGATGGATTCAAATTGCATGACTTTGAGACTGCAGTGTGGTTTCTTACCACTAGGCCACCAGAGCTCTCTGAGGGGCAATAGGCTTGGGCAGGTCAGAGCTCCTGAGGATGGTGTGGGATAGGGCAAGGTTAAGATCTATTCACAGGGTCACAGTGAGCCATAGTCAAGTCAATGGCACCCTTTCTGATAAAGAGCTTTAGTAGTGTAGTCCGTAGAGAATTATACTGCTAACCCAAAAGCCATGCCTCTCCAGCGGATCAAATCCACCAGCGACTCTGAAGGAGGTCTTGTGAGAAGGGTTGGGTATGAGTCAGTTTGACTCATTGGCAATGGGTGAGTGAATGTAGTCCTTTCTGATTTAAACATTATGGCTTTGACTCCTGCTGGATGACCAGGGAAGAGGGCAAGGAGAGTGACTGAGATGGCTAACTTTATAGAATCCTATGGCTTGTGCCACACAGGCTTGCTGGTGGTCTGCTCTAAGCATAGGTGTTAGCCAACCAAATGCCAAGCAGCACAAACACTGAGTGACATTTTCAGAACTATTAATATTTCATCAGCAGTGATCACTTTTCCTTTAAATACACTATCTTAAAAGGTTTTCTACATTCTTAACTATAATTTTATTCAGTCTAGGTTCCTGGAATTTTCCCCAAAGGAACACATCTTCAAATTTATAATGAAAATCAAAGGGAATGAAGCTCGGATTTCAAAATTTAGAGTCAACATTTCCAAGAACTCAGCCCTTCTGTAAAGAGCAGGGTCCTATATTGAGGACCTACTGTATACCAAGCACTCTACATTACCAAAACCTAACCCCAAATCACTATTGCGGAGTCAATTCCACCTCAAAGCAACACTTTAGAGCAGGATTTGTTCCATAGGGTTTCCAAGGCTGTAAATCTTTATAGAAGCACATTGTCACCTCATTCTCCTGTAGAAAGGCTGGTGGACTCAAACTGCTGATCTTTTGGTTAGCAGGTGAGCGCTTTAGCCACTGTACCAAGGGTACTTACTTTGCATAGCATTCATTCAACGAATACTTAGTGAGCTCCAGAAATTTGATCCTCATAATAATTAGTGCTTTTTTAACAGAAGAGATAATTCTCATGCTTCTGTGTCCTCTCAGAGAGGAAGTACTGCAGGAAGTACCTGTCCCATCCTCAAGAGACTCACTTATTGGTTTCACAGTCCTTATTTCATATGTTGAACCAATCATCTGACCTTCAAATGGATTCTGACTCATAGCGACCACATAGGCTTCAAAGTGGAACTAGCTCTATTTCATAAGTAGCACCTTCTTCAATAGTATCTCTAGATGCATTTGAACTATCTTTAGATGTTGTTTGCTGCTATAGTTAGTCCTCAATTTACAGGGATGTTATGTATTACAACATAGAACTTCTACTGGAGGGGAGCTCTGGTGGCCTAGTGGCAAGGAGCTGCAACTACAATCCCAGAAGCGCACGGTTCGAATCCACCAGATGCTCTGCTGGGAAAAAGGAGGGACAATCTCCTCCTGTACCAGTTAGATCTGATTTGACGGTACACGCGCGTGCGCACGCGCGCGCACACACACACACACACACACACACACACAAAACTTCTACTGGGTTTTCTTGCTTATTACCTTTAGGAAATCACATCACCAGGCTTTTCTTCCATGGGGTTACTTACTGACCTGGAACCACAAATTTTCAGGTTAGTTGACAGTTAAGCACAAACTTCTTGTGCTACCCAAGAATATACACCCCATTGCCATCAAACAGATTGCGATTGATAATGACCCTACGGGTTGTTATATGCCATTGAATATGACTCATAGTGACCCTGTAACAATAGATCTGAACCCTGTCCTATCCGTGCCATTCTCATAATTTGTTATACATGAGGCCATTGCTGCAGTCATCGTATTAATCTATCTTGATGAGGGTTGTCCTCTCTCTTGCTGACCCTCTACCTTTCCAAGTGTGGTATCCCTTTGCAAGGAGTAGCCCCTCTTTACAAGATGCCCCACGTATGTGAGATGAAGTGTCACTATGCTTGTCTTAAGCTAAGCGAAACGGTCCCATCAGGTTTTCAAGGCTACAGTCTTTACAAAAGCAGATTGCCACATCTTTCTCAGAGCAGCTGGCAGACCATGGGGTCTCGTTTGTTTGTTCTCATGCTTCCTGAGTGCCTAGCTAGGCATGGAGGAAGAACTCAGTCAATATTTGAGAAATGAACCGATGAGGATGGGAAAAGTTAAGAAAGTTGTTCGGGGGCACACGGCTTGGAAGTGGCAGCTCAGGCTGCTAACACTATCTTCAGAAGATGCCAGAAGGCCTATTGGCACCCATTTCTTCTATTGGCACTCATTTCTTTCTTCTTTCTTCTCTGATCTCTTGCAGCTCCTCTCAGGGGATATTTGGAAGACCAACCACTGACTCCAGGGGCCAGAGCGCCCCTACCCAAATTGCTATTTGTAAATCATAGGAAAGAGTGATCTATCTCAGTGGCTCAGGCTATCTCCATTTCTGTACATATAGAGGGAAAATAAATGAAGATACTAACAGCGTGACCTTGTATAGATCGAGTATGATAACAGAAAGCTTGGCATATGGCACACTTCAATACCTGCTTAAAACAGCAGTAACTGCTCAAATCTGCGGGACAGATGGGCAGGGCCCCAGACAGGCATAGCCACTGTCTGGCGCCCGGTTCCTGCTTGACCACTCACTGCCTGTCTCCTCCCCGGGAAAGCGCTCAGGGCCCCTTCCGGGCGCCAGCCCACCCGCCCCAGCGGGCGGAGGGCGGTGGGTACCGAGCCCAGGGCGCCCCGCGCACCCAGCCGTTGAGTTTGAAACCCACAGGAAGAATTCCAGTGCTTGACGCCAAGCTTGTGAGCGCCACTGGCACATAAAGGCCCCAAAGCCGCCCCGCCCGGCCTGTCCTGCCAGGACAGCGCCCCTTTTAAAGCCTAGGGATCTCTGGTGCTCATCCCCGCTTCCCTTTGCAGGGGACCTGGCGAGTGTCCGCCAGGGTGCTGGGAGCCCGGCTGCGGAGAGCGCCCCTCGCCCCGATTTACCTGCTCAAGTTTTCTTTCTAGGGAGCAGCAGAATAGCCACAGGAGAGGGAGGCCGACCAGGGTTAGTGGGGTGAACTAAACAGGCCACCTAAGCGGCGGAGGGGAGGCTGGGGCCGTTGACGCTCAGGCTGCGCAGGGGTCGCTGGGAAGGCAGCGCGGAGGTGGCCTGCTGGCCTCAGGGTACCTAGTACAGTGCCAGGCTTCTAACCAGTCATCTGCTTGCCTAGCATAAGAGAATGGGCTAAGCTCCGAGAGCCTCAAGGGCCAGGGGTGTGTCCAAAAGGGAGGGGAGGACCGGGGACTAGGGGGAGAGGCAGCCCTCCCCTGCCAGCTGTTCCCAGATGTTCTTCTGCCCTCCCAGGTGCCTGGTTCTTGAGCTCCAAGGGATTCCAAGGTTACTAAGCTACTGGGTTTTGTTGTCTTTTAAATATTTTCTTCTAAGAGAGAGGGGGAGGGGGGCAGAAGCCAGGAAAGAGCAAATAACGAATCAAAATAAGCTCCCCCTCCCCACGAGAAACCTATCCACTCCTCACCACTCACACCAAAAGCGAGGGCTTCTGAGCACAGTTACTTTGCTGGACCAACAAGCAGAGAGAACTGACTTGCCTCTGTCAGGCCTTCTCCTCATCTCCCTTTCTGGTGAATGAGGGGTAGTGGTGGATGGTCCTCCTATCTGCGAGCTCCCCAGAGGACAAAGGTGCTTTTGCAGAGAGAGGAGGAGCATGGCCAGTGGGAACGGGCTCCCTTCCGCCTCGGCCCTGGTGGCCAAGCGCCCATCTGCCCTGGGCCCATTTCCCAGATACATCTGGATCCACCATGACACACCCCAAGACAGCCTAGACAAGACGTGCCACGAAATCTGGAAGAGGGTTCAGGGCTTGCCAGAGGCCTTGAAACCCAGGACCTGGGCAGAGCAACTCTCTGCCTCCGCAGCTGTGACTTCAAGAGACAACCAGCTGGCATTCCAAGAAGAGTAAGTAGCTCCCTGCTTTTTGAGACCAAGGGAGGAAGGAAGAGATACGGCCTGACCTGCTGGTAGAATGTTCTGGTCCTTTGAGTCTGGTTACATCCTAAAGCTATATACTTTTCCATCCCCACCATGGTCCTTTGCCTAGCCTTTTCAGTTAGGGAAAAGCTGATCATAGGTCTGGAAGAAGGATCAATAGTGTGCTTCACCAGTCTTCTAAGGGAACCTCTTTTTTAAAATCCTAACCAGCAGGTCCCCAGACTTGGGTCTGATGTTCTTGCAAAGCCACTCAGGCCAAGGTTGAGAGCTAGATGCATTTCCCTAGAGTCAACTAGAAGATTTTTCTCTCCTCCTACTCCCTAAAGACTGGGCAGGCGTTCACACAGATGAGTCTGGTGATTTGAAACCACATCTGGAATTCCCTAATACAGGGAGCAGCTGTCCCATTCAGCCTCCACAGAAGCCGCTGCAAAAGCTCACATCAAAATATTTACTGGGAAGGCATTGACATATTCAGAGGACATAATAGAAAATTAAAGTGCGGGGAGATGGTTGTAAATAGCTTGTTTCCTGGATGGGAAATCCTATGTCTGGGGAAATACCGAGCTAAGTGTTTCTCTACCAGGGCAAAGTTGGGCAGATATAGTTGAGGCTAGAAATTTGCAGGGAGCAGGAGGGGAAGAGAGGAAGAAGGGACCTCATTAAGAAAAGAATAGAAATCCAGTGTGGTTATTAATGCCACTGTTAAGTACTTTTTCAATGTTTTGCATCTTCAAAGTGGGCTACAAACATTAATTAATCTTCCCAGAGCCTCTATGAGACAGGTATTAGTGTCCCCATTTTACAGATGGATTAAGTGTTAATAATTAAATGCCAATTAAAGACTAAGTGATAATTAAGTGTTGACTATTCCAATACATGCTCCAGCTCAATTCAGAGATCCTTTGGAGTGGGGGAGTCACTCAGGCAATTATCAGCTGTGTCTGCATTCAGGGATTTCCAAGCAAGAGCTAGAAGGAAGTCAAAGTATCGCTGCTACACAGCACAGCACTGCTTGCTGCATTTTCCTAGCTGCTGTGGATGAAGATGAAAGACAATTTGGCTATTAATGCCTCCCCTGCTTTGCACACAACATGACATAGCTGAGATGGGAGTGGTCCTCTCCTGACGCAGCAGCCATCTGCTTAAGGATAAGCCTTTGCCAGAGGAGAGGGGCTCATCAGTGCTCTTCTCAGCTCCCAGCAGCCTGGAACCTATTGCCCACTCCGCGGTCCGAGGGTCGGTAGTAATTTCCACTGAATGGCACCCTCCCTGCCAGATCACATGGAGTAAAACAGACTCTACTTCCAGTCTGTGCTTGGCGGTAAATTGAACTGGCACACCTTTGACCAGTTGCTTAACTTTCTTTGGCCTTGATTTTTCTCATCTGCAAATTGATGATGATGTGCCCTCCCTTGTCCACTTCGGAGTTGATAATGAGCATCAAATGTGATGGTCCACAGGAAAACAAAAGAGGCATTATACAAATGTCGGCTGCTGCTGTTGTCTAAGTCTTAGAACTTGAATGGTTATTGTTGTTAGCATCACTCTGGGGCTTTCAAGCTATGCCCTAGTGACCAAAGGGTGCTGGAGGGCCACCTTGGAGCCAGGTGCCTAGTTGTTGGATCCCAGTCCCTACTTCAACACAGCAGTTCTGTTTTTACCTGTTTTACTACTAGGATTTTGAATAGGTTTCAACCAAATAGAATACAGTGAGCTGAAATAAAGACTGTGATGCTTGAGTCCGAGAGCATTTCAGCTTGGGCAGGCTGTAGGATTCCTGCCTTAGCTCAGGGGCTGTGTGTTGGTTTCTTCATCTGCCAAGTAGAGGTGATGACCATGCATTTCACAGGAGGTTTTTCTCTGGGGGAGGGAAATTATTAAATTGGGTATTTTAAATTCCTGGTAAGAATTAGGTTTTGTAAATTGCCTAATATAGTGGTGATGATGATAATTGCTTAAATTCACAACTATTGTAAGTTGCATGTTAAACATTCCCTCTTTCTGTTTTCATTATGCAAATTTTCAAACACATAAAAGTAGAATGTTGTTGTTGTGTACCGTAGAATCAGAACCATAACTCCATCTCCGGTGGGTGTTCAGAGGCAGTTAACTGCACGGGAGGAGATTCCCGATCCTTCTCTTGAGGAGCAGCCAGTGGCCTCGAATCTTGTACCTTCGGGATTGCAACACAGCTTCTTGTCACTAGACCACCAGAGCTTCATAGTGAATGTATCTGTCACTGAGTGTCAGTTTTTCTCAAGCTGGTGTCTTACGTGAATTGTCCTTCCCACATTTTAAAATAAGTAGCCCTTTGGGTCTAAGGGTTAATCACTTGGCTGTTGATTGTTAAGTTTGGCCTTCAAACTCTCCCTCCTCAAGAAAAAGAGACCTGGTGATATATTTCAATAAAGATTACAGCCAAGAAAACGTTATGGGATTGCTTCACTGTCATGTAGGGTTGCTTTGAGTTGGCTTTGACTCAAGAGTACCCAACAGAAACAACATTTTAAAGTGAAATCCTTTTCTTACCTCAGATGAGGCAACTGAGTTTTGGGGAGCTTTATCTCCTTGCTTAAAATCCTGCCGAGGCTTCAAAATGCGAACTTAAGAATATTTTAGCCACTATACAATAATGCCGGCTATCTTCTTCTAGAAATGGGTGTCTTTTTTGGATAGTCTGATGTTCAGAAGTTTTCATGGTTGGAATGATCTTACCTAGACAGCATTTCAAATTCAGGGTGCTGTCTGTGGAGTTTCTGGAGTGTCCTTAGGCTCAGAAAATTCTTCTCCACTCATCTTTCCACCACTTAGTCTGTGGTGATATTTTCTGTTATTGAAGCAATTGGATGAATGTTAAGCTCTAGCACATTTGTTAGCCAGAATTCTGTCTCTAGGTATCACAGAATCTCAGCCATCTCAAATGTAAAAGGGAATTTGGAAGCCGTCTTCTGCTGCTTAAATCTCCTCCTCAATATTCTTGCTAATTGATTATCTGCTCATACATCTTCTTATGCAGAGACCTCACTGCTTTGCAAGGCAGCCTATTCACTTGTTGTGAGTTGTGTCTTAAAGCATCATTGTTTCTTTGTAACTGAAATCAGCCTCTATCAGTTTTAGCTATATATCCGAATCCTGCCGCTTCCGGTTCCAAACCAAATCTATCCTCTTTTCCTTTCGATAGCTCTTGAGATACTAAAAGACAGCAACAATATTCCATCTAAAATTTTCCCCAAAGTGAGATAACTCTAGTTTGCAGTTTCACCTCATGTGCCTACTTAATAATTTTCCTGTCCTGTGCCTTGTTATAGGGTGGTTCTTAGAACCAAGTACAGTAATCCAGCTGATTCAGTCAGTGCAGAGGAAAAGATGACTGCTTTCTCCTCATGTATAATCTGTGTTCTTATTAATGGCAATCAAGATCTCATCTTCTTTTCTCCCCAAGTTTACATCACTATGTGGATCCAGGGATCCCAGGTGTAATAATTCATAAGAAGTTGAGCTACAGGTCATCTCTCTGATAGTTCAAATCCACCAAGAGCTCGGGAGAGAAAGACAGACCATCTCTTTCCGTGTGATTTACACTTTTGTAACCCACTGGAGGGTCAGCATGAGTTGGTTCCAACTCGACAGCAACGATGCTTTGAGGTGGACTTACTATAAGTTCATTCAGCACACATTGCATCAGGCAATAATCACTGCAGACATTGTGCTGCCATGTTAGGATAAAGGTACTGACATTTTTGAGTATAAAATCTAGTAGGAGAAAGAGACAGAAAATAAACAAATGAATATGATAATTTCAGAATATTCTTGTCTGAGGAGACAGATGAAAAACACAAAAATAAACAATTATAAATAATTATGTGTTAACATAGCACATAGCAGTAAGGACTAATCTGAAAATAAAACAGTAGAATGATAGAGCTCCTTTTGATAGGTTCCTTTTGACAGAGACTTGGGTGCTAGGAGAGAATCAGTCAGGTGAAGGAAGATGTGATGAAGTCTGTCCAGGCAGAAGACAAGACAAGTGCAAAGTCCTGAGGTGGGAGTGAACTCCCATGACTTGGGACAGCATAACTGAAGTGTAGCAAGTGATGTTGTTATTGTTATGTGCCATCAAAGTTGCCTGCAACTTATAACAACTCTAAGGTACAACAGCTCTGAAGCCTGCCCTATTCTGAGCCATTGTCACTGACTCCAACACACCTACTCCCATTACCCTAATCCATCTCCAGGGTCTTCCTCTCCTGCGCTGTCCCTCCACCCTTCTGAGCATGATGTCCTTCTCCAAGGACTAGTCCTTCCTAGTCATGTGCCAAAAGTATGGGAGACAGAACTTCTAAATCTTAGCCTCCAGGGAGAATCTTTGTTTCATCCTCTCCAAGACAGACTTGTTTGTTCTCTTGGTCGTCCAATACTCTTCTCCTGTACAACTCAAAGGCATTGATTCTTCTTCTGTCATTGTTAATAATTGTCCAGTTCTCTGATGCTTAGTAAGTAATTATGAAGACTATGGCCTGATTCAGGCACATTTTAGTTTTTAGACTGACATCATTGCTTCTCAGTAATCTAGAGAGGTTCCTGACCACAGATTTTCCCAATGCACTCCATCTTTTGGTTTCCTGACTCCTGGTGCCAAGAGTGTTGGTTGTGGAGCCGAGCAACTGAAATTGTTAACAACTTCAATCCCATTATATAAAGCGATGTTAAAGGCAGACTGGGGCAAGGTCATGGAAGGCTTTGGGAATCATTCTAGGGAGTTCACATTTTATGCTACATGTTGTAGGCTCTCACATTTGGAGGTTTTTAGGAAGGGAGTTTAACATGATCAGATTAACTTTATTTAAAGATCTAGCCAGCTGCTGTGTGGAAATAGTTTGCAGAAGTGTGAGAGAGGAAACTGAGAGACCTTTAGGAAAATCCTGCAATGGTCCACGTGAGAGATGACGGTGATAATGGTGGTG